TTCCCTGCCAGCTCTGGGTACAGATTCTCTGATTGATCTATGAGACGCGTCCAGCAGATAAAACTCCAGCAGCTGCTTGTGAAGCGCAGCATGATGCGCTGCTCCTGCTGCTCTAGATGCTGCAGGACCTTTTGTTGCACCTTGATGCGCGTCAACCATTGACTTTGCCTGTAAGCTAGCTGCTCCACGTCGGGTGTGAACGTAGCATTATTAGCAGCTACAGGACACCCTGTCCAGGAGACATTCTGGTCTAATAAGACCAGAACGAAGATATCTGGACTCCTACGTTTCCCTCTGAACACACATGGTGGTGGCAGCATTATGCTGTGGGTCAGGAAGGAGCCAAATCAGGACAAAAACCTGTTAGAGGCTGCAAGGGAACAGATTGGCCTAGTCAAAGTCCACACTTAAAGGAGGGAGACGCTCCTTCTGTAATCAGAGTAAAGAACAGGATGAAGCTCTAACCTCCGACTGGCTTCAGTTTGGGAACTCCGCCCGTGAACAGGCCTCCGACCGAAGCAGCAGAACCTGGGGGACTTCCTGCCGTGCCTCTGTTGGCTCCGCCTCCTTTGGGCTCTGAGGACCACAACCATTGGGACAGGTGAGGGTGTGATGTCAGCGCCGGACTGTACGATGGGTTAGTGTGGGGTGGGATGCTGGTGAGGACAGGTAATGGGTCAGACACCGAGGTGGGATGAGATGGGATGGCGTGACGTGGAGTGAGACGGTAAATTAAAGTGTTTACGCTCCCACGCAGCTCCGATGACATCATCGCCAGCACAACAAACAGTCAGAAACATGTTAATAATCAATGACATCACAGGTGATCAGGAAGAAACAGTGAATCAATCAAATTATTCCTCACATGGAAGATGAAAGGCAACTTATTACCCCACCCACCCACTAGGCCCCGCCCCCAAAGCCCCGCCCTGCTGAGGTCCGGCTGCAGTTCCTGCCAATCAGAGAGCCCAGTAAAGGTTCATTCCGTTTCATGCGGTGAAGTTCTGAGCAGTCTGCCGTCTGCCAGGCGTCCTCCACAGCAGCAGAGGAGGAACAACGCTGACAGCGCCTTCCTGACCAGCTGGAGGGAGGCGACGCAGATGCAGATGGCAGACGTTCGAACCAACAGCGGCTGCAGGAGGCTGTGGCGGCAGTTTGAGCAGCCGCTCTGTCACCTGCTACACGCTGACGCCTCTCTGAGGCCCGATGCCACGGCGGCCACTCGGTGCAGCGTAGCAGAGACAGGGAGAGCAGACGTGGGAGGGAAAGGACGGACAAGGGACGGACAGGGACGGACGGGGACGGAGCAAACAGGACAAACACGGTTCGCTTCTGGACTCACTGCTCACACCCAGAGGGGACTCTGGGTAACCGTTACGGCTGTGAGGTTCTGAACCCACCAGGGCCGACGTACTGGTGATTAAAAACAGCAGAAAAAAAGCCTGGAGAGGCGGAGGGGATTCCCTGCTCCCTGCTGACCTCACCATGAAGACAGACAGCCAATCAGGACAGCGCTGAGCCGCGGCCGAGCAGAAGAGGGGAATCACATCCATGATCCCAGCATGCAGCTCACCGAGCTGAGATCTACTGGGCTCCTTTCTAGAACAAACCAACACCTGGGGTGGATTAGCGAAGCATCAATCCCATAGAACACGGCCAGTGGAGACATAATCCAGATTAAAAGCGCCCAGTTTCCCTGGAAATCTGCTAGAAGCAGCTGGAGCTAAACTCTGTTCAGCCTCTCAACATCCGCATCGACTCTGAGGGTCGATCACTTTCTGAGTCGGTGGAAATGAGCCCGATTCCTTGGGGCAGATCTATTCCGTCTGTTTCTATAATAAACATTTCTTCAACAGAAAGGATTCTTTGATTTAAAGGTGAGCTAAACATTAACGGTGCTCACTCAGTCCATACTGCCAGTTAGCTAATGCTAACGTTCCTGTCCAGACGGGAAGCAGGAACGCCGCTTTGGTTCCATCATTCAGCACCACGGCTCCACCCAAGATTCTTCTAGGGAAGGGGTCGGCATCCCACGGCTCTTTAGCGCCCCCCTTGTGGCTACCACAAAGTTTCACATTAATATGTTTTACAAATTTTATATATTTATAAAGCATATTATTATTATTCAGTATTTTAAAGGATTGCTCTTTGATAAAGACTACGATCTATAAAGGAACATTTGTTGTAATGTGATTTACAAAAGAGAGTAATGTTATTATTTATTTTTTTTTATTTGATGTTTGGTCAATTTTATTCTAATTTTCATTAATTTTTTTTGTCATCGAATGGTATACAGTAGTGAATGGTAAATTTATGTCATGTCTAACTAAAGAAGTTTTTGTCCTTTTTAGTAAAGTTTTTCCAAAACTTGTTTTCAAACTTTTTTTTTTATCATTATTTATGCAAATGTGAACATTTTATATTTTTTCAGTCATAGTTTTTCTCATAGCAGGCAGGGCTAAAAGTTTGCTAACTGTCAATACTATAATAATAATTATGTATTAGAGCAGAAAGTCTGATCAATCAGTCAGTCCAACTAAAACCGTGAAACGTTCTCGTTTAACGTTTATAATTTATCTGGAATACAGTTTGCGGGATTCAGTGTCTGAAGTCATGAAGTAGGGTTAGCATCCACTGAGCTGGCCTGACCCAAGATGGCCGCCCTGTCAGCACACCTCTCACCCACTAGGGAGCCTCAGAACTCACATCTGCATTTGTTTCTCAGTGGTGCAGTGGTCCTGGATAACGGGGTGGGGTTGGGTCCTGTTGCCTCGGTAACGAGTTGGTAGCGATGTTATGAGATGAGCTGAGGCTTCGAGGCGTGTATCGGGTAATGGAGGGGGCTTTTCTCTGGAGCGCGTGTCGAGGCCTGATTCATTTAGAGGAGGGGCCAAAAATTATGACGTCTGAGGCCTCACTACCGTGAAACCATGTGACCGCTTCAGGAAGTGGTTCAGGAGTTTGACAGACATTTAAACAGCCTCAGTGTTCAGTCAAGATGTTGGAGTTTGGAGGAGCTGCTGTCAGCTGGATAGAGTTTGGATAGATTCTAAGAATAGATTGGTTGTTAAAACTATTTTTCCAACCAATCTAGTTGGTTAAAACTATTTAGGTTAGAATAAACAATATAATGATCAAAATCTGAGCAAGCCACAGCTGTGACGTTAGTCCTAAGCAGTATTATCTGCATTGAACAGTTATCCACATAAGTGTCATCTGTGAGACACAGACTCCCTTTCCTGAGGTTCAAAACCTTCCTTTGATTTTTCTAAAGTTGCGATTATATTTAATTTTTTGGCTAATGTAGCTACTTTGCATTGGTTTGCCCTAATAACATAGAATGGGTAAAAATGCTGCCAAATTAGGTCGGTTTAGCCAATAGGTCGGTTGAACACAACTTTCAACCCGAATAAAAACCAAAAAATGTGGAAAAACTAGAATGTTTGAATAAAAATGACTGAAACCTTTCATTTTGCTCATCTTTGCCCACTTTGCACACTTTCACTGCCTGCTTGAATATATTTCAATAAAATGGCAGAAAAACTGTGAACCTTAAATGATTGTTCTAAGAAATTTTACACTTAAAAAAAACTTACAAAAAACAATTTCAAAGAACTTAAAAGGGAAAAAAAAACTATTGCAAAAAAATAACAGATTTTATTACAAACTGTAGTTCTGCTCTCCACCAGTAGGTGGTGTCATGCTCACATGGAGCTTCATGAACTGTGAGGATTGTTGAAGCAATTTAGCCCAAACGGTTTGATGAGGCTTCATCCCACCATCACTAAGAGTTAAGGTCTGATGACGTGTCGGGGGAGTCAGGCTGTGGTCTAAGCTGAAGGTGTCTAGGTTCGCACGTCTGATCTGCTGCCCCTGTCACTATGGAAACACCACCTGCACTGTGATTGGGCGGAAGGTCTTAGAAAGTTTAAACCCCCCCGCCCTCCGCCCGTCTGTGGACAGGGACCTTAGCGGCTGATTGAACCTGAACACAGCCTCCTGCAGCAGGTCTAGACTACCTGAGAACACAGAGGTCTTACTGTCGAGGGATGGAGAGGAGCTCGGTCCTCCAGCCTTCCTCCTGGCCTCCTCAGACAGCGCCCCCTGCTGTTTGGGCTGGTTTAGGTACTGGTATAAGCGAATGTATGGGTGCTCTGTGGGAGGTGTGGGGCTCTTTGGCGTTTGAGTCTTACTGTCGAGCAGAGGAGCGCTGCGGTCATTCACCACCGCCACCTTCTTCAGTTTGGTGCCTTTACAGATGTCCGACAGCAGGGCGCCGCGACCTTTGACCTCCTCCCTGCTCAGCTTGGGAGGAGTGGTATTAGCCTGAGGGAGGAGGAGACAGTTGGTGACTTCTGTTTGAGGTTCCCCCGAACGCCTCAGACATGAAAGAGAGGAGAGGAGCAAAGATCTCACCTGAGCAAATGTAGGGGGAGGAGGGGGTCCCCCTGGGGGAGGAGGAGGAGGAGGAGGGATGGGCATCCTGCTGCTGACAACGCCTGAACCCTGGAAAACAAAAGGTTCTGTTACTGATCCATCAGAGGAACCCTGGAAAACAAAAGGTTCTGTTACTGATCCATCAGCAGAACCCTGGAAACCAAAAGGTTCTGTTACTGATCCATCAGCAGAACCCTGGAAAACAAAAGGTTCTGTTACTGATCCATCAGAGGAACCCTG